TTCTATCGCTAGTGTCGACGTCGATTATTCGTGTTGAATCCCTTGTCATTATCTGAACGTTTTTCGTCTCATCGATTGGGTATTACCAGAGATGAAAAGTGCACACGTCCTTGTTTAGGCGAGTTCACAATTTTATTGGATATTGTTTCGTTTCATTATGCTAAACGTTGGTTGGGTTTCGTTGGAGGCCACTGATCACCAACTGCTTTCCCATGATCATCATGTCTCATTAGTCGCTTGAGCGTAATAAAAAATCTAGTGTGTGAAAAAAATATATAAAACCATTTGAATTTCAAATGGTTGCAAAATGCGTAGAGTGTATATATATATATATATATATATATATAACCATTCGAATTGCAGCAAACGGTTGCAAATTTTCCACCAGTTGCGTACGCGCATATATATATTAATAGATATGAGTTCAGTCTAAGGAAGGTTAAATAATATGTAGCAGTTAGGATTTATTAAATCACGAATCACTTCGATGAAGAGAGTGAACCCGAATCACCTTGACGTCAATCGAATCCCGTTGGACCCAATACCTCATCGGGACGTAAAAAGAGTGTTGCTCGTTAAATAAGCAGATTTCAAATGTTCTAGGTGTGGGTCTTTCCCCTTAGACGCGTAAGTATTATCGATTTAAATTTGTAGAATATTAGTATGTACATGTGTGTTTCTCATAATTTAGAGTTAAACTAATTATTTTGTATATTCGTAAGTCCATTTAGTTTAATACGAGTATATTTTCCCAAAGCGTTTCATAAATTTTTTTAAATTAATAACTATTATGTATGGCGAATATATGAAAAAATAAAGCATGATTATATTATTTATATGTTCGTAGAAGCATGTGGTATTGAATGTTGTTGTGTGAAATTCTAAAATGTCAAGGCATACTATTTCTTGTGGTGGAAATATTAATTTATATGTGTTGAAACTTTGCATAATTATATATATATATATATCAGAGTTTTAATTATTGGAGTCATTGTTATTGGAGTATCGGGGGTTAGTGGATTGTATTTTATTGTCGGAGTCACTGTTATTGGAGTCATTGTTAATGGAGTCGTTGTTATTAGAGATGGTATCGGAGATGGAGATATTGATAAATTTAAATTACATAAGTGTTTAGAAATTGGTACTTTGGTAATGGTTATTAAATGCATAATTTCTCTTATATGATGTAATTATATATTTCTTGCTTGCTATCATAATTAAATGTGTATGTTTCGCTTGTAAATTTTATTACTTGTTTGAATTAGTTTCAGACCACACTGGGCTTTGGCTCATCTCGTTTCTTTCTTCCCTTTCAAACGGTTTGGGTTATTAGGATCGGATCGATATCTTGATGATCAAGTCTCAATTACCAGTATTTTACTCGTATGATTTCTTTCAATAATTGACAGAATGTGACATTTGGTTTTAATTTTAATTAATTTGAAACTGTATATAAAATTTTCATACCTCTATAAATTTTCAAGTATTTGGACTAATTTTATCTTATGTTAAAATGTTTATTTTTTATTACTATAAAATATTTATTTTAATCATATAAAATTTCTAAGTCTCTTTATGGAGCGCGATTGAAACATCTAGGTCGGGTATCGAGTGTTACAATATCGATACTTAAAAGATAATATTGATACTGTAAGGTCGGTACCGATACCGGAGAATTTTTTGTGGGCTTTAATAACCAAGAATTTTAATAGGCAAACGAGGTTTCCCAAAACGCTCTAATAACCTTTAAATAAGACTACAAGTGAAAACCATAAAAATGATTAATCACATTAGAAACAAGATCAATTAGGGTGACATAAAACTAACCTTGATTGATGCTTAGGAAACGACCAAGACACAGGAGTTCCTTTAGCAAAGATAGCAGTGTCGAGGTATAGAATCAGTTCAGATATCCTTAGGTAGCGCCTGAGGCACTCTAAACTGATTAACTAGGGTGCGAGATCCAACAATCGCGAGGGGTTAGTTATTCGAGAGTGTTATGTGCAATGTAGAGATTTCAGACCATATCCTTGGTAGACTAGAGGGGTGCGTGAGCTCTAAGATGCAGAAGCCCTCAGTCACACTATGATGTCTACCATAGATTAGAGAGCGAGTGTACGAGTATACTCAATAATGTATGTGATTGAATAGCTTGATGTATTTTTTATGCACTTTTAGTATGATCTAGTTGTTAGTAAGACACTATGATAATTAGTTCAGCGTTTAGAATTTATTTCCTACGCAAATTAGTAGAAGAGCAATGAAAAGCCTTTTGTCTAGCTTGATTCTAGACCCATATTCAGAGTATCGTACATCTCGATTTCTTCTTAGAGGGCATGTATATTTGTAATTTCTGTTTTGTATATTCGAGTTATAAATTATTTAAATTGATGGTTTGTATAAAATGAAATGATTATTACTGGGAGCTCCTGATGTAAATTGTTTTATATAAATGTTGTCGTTTTATTTCATTATGAATATTTGTAAGTGATTGTTTTATTAATCAAGTAAGGAAACTTTTTTGTTAGCCACTCTGGTGGTTTCGTGTGACACTCTGATCGGTCGACTGTGTGTCATAATGGTTTAAGGTGTTCCATACACGCGTCGATGAAACAATCCGAAATGAGCCATCACGCGCCGAAGAGTAGCATTTACAAACAGTTTCGAGTAACTTTGGCAAGAAATCAATACATAATCAATCAAATCAGAATCCTAAAGAAAGGAAACAAATGGAACCGATCAAAAATCGTAGAAAGCAACAAATCAGCAAGAAAAGTCAACATGCAAGCAACGAAATCATGTTAGATACTGTAGATTATGGGATTCGAATCGCACATTGAGGGAAAGAAGCATATGCCATCGATTATATATTCATGCGAAGAAAAGGAAAAAAATTCATTCAAAAGACAAGAGTAAAAAGGAAAACCGAAGAGAAAGAGAGAAGGGCAAACTTAGCTTGTTGAGGAGAAGAGACAACGTCGAGAATCACAAAGTCGCCGAAAAAGGTGAGGAGGCTGAGAGTCTTTATTTAGATCTACGGAAGAGGACTCTTTGCACGGTTATTTCATGGGTAGATCAGGGTTCATGATTGAAAGACGATTGATTTGGTGACTTTTGGGTTTTCCGGCCACCGTGGATGGTGGTTGGAGCGATGAGGGCTTGCCGGAGAAAGTGATCAGAGAGGGAAAAGAGAGTTGAGAGGTTTTATTTTTTGAGAGAAGGGGAAAATGAGCCAAAAAGACAAATTGGAGGCTATTTATAGGGATTGCTTTGCAATTATAAGAAGATTAAATTATTTTTGCAATCCTCACATTTTGATGCATAATTCATTTTGGTCACTATTTTTAATTTTGCCAATAAATTTTAGTTTTATTCAATTTAATCTTTCCTTCATTTCACTTTATTTGGATGCATTGACAATTTTTTTCCATTGTTGTGATTTATATCTTTTTTATTTTTTCATATTTTTTATTTTACTTTTTTATCTTAACATCGCTTTTTTCTTTTAAAGGAATCCATTAAATTTTCGAATAATCGAGGGTAAGTAATTCGGATCGAACTTAAATTTTTATTTAAATTTATAATTTTCATATTTAAGACAACGCAGTAATCGATTGGTACCGGAAGGGCGATTCGAGGGTGCTCATTCTTCCTCGATCGTAAATGACTCCCGAATCCAAAATATCTCTCGTAAGACGTAGACTCAGCAAATGAGCAAAATCAAGGTGTCTGATCTACCTCATTCGAAATGATCGGTGGTGATTCCATCACGATTCCAAATCGGAACACAAACCAGGACCACCCGAAGGACCGTTGTGACATAGTTGAGGTTCAACAATTTTAACTACATAGTTGAGGTTCAATGATTTTAACGTTCTTATATCTTTAACTTTGCAAGACAACAATCGTGACAAACACGTTATAAATTATTGAAATTATTGTCCCGGGTTTAAAATTTAACACCTCAAATAGTCATGCCAACAACTAGAAATTTCGAATCAACGATCATCTCAAGGAACTAGTCACGTGACGAAATCATCACATAGGTGTGATAAATTTCTAAACAATTAATACAATATTAGGGTCCATGGGACTCACATAACGATGGTCATTAAAAAATAATATTCAAGAGAACTCATCAAGATAATATGATTAGTTTCCCTATATTGTAACAAATGTCTTATTTCTCAAAATAATTTTTGAGCTACTGTAGAAGCCTAAATAAAAGCTAATGAGTGTTGACACAAGTGGTTAAGATTCAGGAATTTGAATTTATAAGGCTAAGTTCGAATCCTACCACCATCACTCTTGGTGGACAATTTGTAAATTCATATGTAAATCCTAATTAAGTCTTAGATATGTCCTGACCCTGGACTGAGGAGCCACCCTTAACCTAAACTTTTGTTGTACAAAAAAAAAGCCATAATAAAAATATTGCCTAGATTATTGGACTAGTTTTACCCGCTTCGATATATATTTTTTATTTCACCCAGTTTTGTGTGTACCGTTACCTATATTTTCGAATAAAATAACTATAATTTATTTCAAACATATATACACTGTACCATTATCTAGTATAAATTATTTGTAAACTTTAATATAAAAAATATTATATTTTAAATATTAAAATAATTTATAAACACAATTCGTACAAATTTAAATATAGAATGTTATATACTTTTGGGAAAACTATTATATATATATATATATATAAATATTAGGAAACTGAATATATTTAATTGGTTTAACTCTAAAATGACAAAAAAATGCTTATTTGATAGTGATAACAGAAAACCATTTGCACAGCGTTTTTGTATTGTCAAAAGGTACTTATCGACAACAAAAGTAATTCCAAAAACAATTGAACTTGCAGCACCATAAAGAGTAGAAGCATGAGCATGACATAAAACCAAGAAAGTTGAATATGTGGAAGTAGTAAAATCTTGCATACGATACGAGCAAAGACAACATTTTTATGAATGTCAGCACATGGTGCAGCAGCAATGGTTCAGATTACAGTTATCCATTCCATGTATATAAACGAAAGCTAGTAACCTATAGAACAATCAAGAACAGTGTGGTGAACTAAGCAGCCTCAGCAAAACCGATTTCGAGATTACCGTAGTCGAAAACGGTATGGTATACCCCCATGAATACATCTCCCAGAATCCTGCAAATTAATCCCATCATTCATATGCATCCATACACACATATAGAGCAAATTGAGGAACAAAATCAGTGCTACTAACCACAGAGGACCCCTTGGTGGGGGCACGTCCAAAGCCGTGAATCCACTCACACACACTGTGGCAATACCTTCTCCAGCTCTCACAACATACTGCAAAATCAATAATATGTCAATCTTTGGAGTCAAATTGGCATTACCAAGAGAAAGCAAAAAAGAACCTGGTCCGGAGTGAGCTTAAACGGCTTGTCCGCAATCGTGAACGTAATATCCGGCATCGATGAAATTCTCCGGCAGTCGATTACCGACTCTCCCATCGGACTTGGTAGGCTCTTGCACAACTGTTATTGTAACATGGATTAATTTGTCTGTTTCTCCCATAAGTTATGACATGTTTTAAAATGTAAACTACCTCATTCACGTAGTTGAGAACTGTGTCTTTGGTCTGCTTTTGTTTAAGCTGATTCTGAATCCAAATGGCAGTCATCTGACAGGCAGCGCACAGAACTTTGTCCCCAACTGATAACTCTTCCTTGTTTTCCTTCTCAACCACTGTTTTAATTACTCTGCTTCTCACAACATGAGAACCTCAGTTAACACAAGGAAAGCTTTTCAAGTGCAGTTAGGGGTTTAAATGAATCGAGCTTGCATTCATGTTCATATTCGATCCGTATTTGTTTAAATTTTCAATATCGTATTCATATTAATTTATTTATTTTTAAAGATATTCGTGTTCATTTAGTTTTTACGAACATGTTCATTTAATAATCCTGAACATGCTAATTAATTGTTTGACAACCAAAACTCTCTTTCTTCCTTTTATTTGCAAGCTGAAAAAAATAGTGAAATTGTGCCCTAGTCCTTAATATCTTTAGACTTCACATTTTGAACTCTACAATCTATCTTATGTTCAATTTAGTCCATATATTTAGTAATATTTAAAATATAAAATAAATTTGAAAAATGAAAAACTAGTAAACGAGCTTGTAAGCAAGTCAATAAACGATCTTGGTCGTGAACATAAAAGAACCAAACAGACTTTTATCCGTGTTTGTTTTCTCATTAAATGAACACAAAACTTTTGTTAATATTTATTTATTCAACTTAACAAACAAACATAAATGAATCTTATACGAACTGATCACGAATAATTCATCGAACAATATGGTCATTTATACCCGTGCAGTGGATTACTAAAATGAATACCTCATATCGTGAGTCTCATTGAAAAGACATAAGCCGATCTGGGTACAGACTACGTCGGGTTGCACCTGCAGAAATATAAAGGAATACCAGAATTGTATGTGTATAATTATAAGAAGGTAATTAAGTAAAATAAACGCACCCCTGATACTAAGAGTTGCCATATGAGATCACCATACTGAGAGACAACTTCTTTACATTCAGCACTGACCACTCCTTCAGCTCCAATAGCGTGATTGATTTCAGTAACAACTGCCTGAACTCACCACATGTTATTAATTGAACATTAAACTCGAAACACCGAGTATGTATATCTATATAAAGAGGTCCTACTGTGGGGCCAGCAAGTAAGGATGTTCCAGAATCCACAATAGCAGCACATCTTCCCACACAAACACCTGTGGAATGGTTTCCAATAAGGAAGTCCCCCATCTCAAACTGGAAAAACAAATTCAAAACATTATACAGAAAGAATACCACTCTTGCAATAAAGAAATCCACAAGTTTGACAACGTCAGGATAATTTATCGTTTTAAGGCATGTTCAGGGAGTCTAAAATACGATCGATTAATATAAAGTTATAAAAAGACTATCGGATGTAACCGAAAATCTTTCGAGTGCATAACTCTTCATAGTAGATTGAGTAATATTTTAGAAAATATTATATTCTCTATAATAAATCATGTAAATTGTATAACTATTTTGGTTGCAACATAAAAATTTACCGTAAAAAAACTTATGTAACATTCTCGGTTGTAACTGAAATTATTATCAATTATGTAATCTTTTCGAGTAGCTAGGATAACATCATATGTTAAAACCCGTCCCAATATAGCATTTTCGATTGTAACAAAAAATTACTATCAATTGTATAACTTTATATAATAAGAAAAATAATATTTTATGTTAAAACTCATAGTAAATTAACCTTAATTTTTTTTTGCACAGCAAAACTATAGCATGTTTATTGTTTAGCATTACTTTTGGATGTCCAAACCCTTTCCGACTACAATAATAACGCTAAACCAAGGAAAATTTTAAAATACAACTTGTTAATATAAAGTTTAAAATGGTAGAAATCGGTTGTAATAAAAAATATTTTCAAGATTGGACAGAAAAACTTTTTTGTTGTAATCGAAAATATTATATTCTTCATAAAATTTTCGGTTATAAGTCTTAAACAACTGCAATATAACTTTTTAATTGCAACTGTTAAAAATGTATATAACATTTTAGCTAGGTTGAACACCATAATAGTTTAGGTTAAAAGTTATTTTAAATTAGTCTAAAATAAAACTGGCGTATTTCAGAACTACCCTAAACCAGCCATTAGTGACTCTCCACTCACCTGCCAATAGCCTTTATGAGTAATAGGAACGTAAGTATGCTTGCCCTTATAGTGCGTAGGATCAACACCGCCAAAAACAATTTCACCTCCGTATGTGGCGGATGGATCCCTGTTAAGCCAGAATGAAAACACATCCTCTCTAACAACACCTTGCTTCAACATATTGTACCTGTATGTACTCTTGTCGTGCTTTACTTAGTGCAACCCACAACAACAATGGAAGTAAAACAAAAAACAAACACTAGCATACCACACAGGAGTAGTATTCCCCACTGAGATCTCCTCGAATCCAAGCCCAAGGATTCCATCAAACTTCGCTAACACAAAAGTAGGGAAACTTCCTTCACGAGTAGCCTCGATGAAAACCTTAAGATTGAAAGAAAAGAAATTTGAAAGAGTTAATTTTCCTAATAAAAGGAACTCAAAAAGAAAAGAAAACCCACTTGATCCTTAACGACAAGACCCCCAACTTCAATATTATCTTGACTGAAGAAACCAGATATTGATCCTGATCCATAATTTATTTCACAAGGTTTTCCTGAATCAAACACAAAAAGTAAGAGAAGCCATGTACATAACTTTGGAGTCCAAACAACAAGCATCTTGAACGCATGATTGAGATGGAACAGAAAAATTACCAATCTTGGTGTATGTACTGGATCGGCTAGACTTATATTTCGAGTGGAAATAGCAAGCAATCTGCAAATAGATATGAATAAAAGGTAAGATTAGTAATGCTAGCATAAGGATAGCGTAGCAACAACAGTTGTAGAATTGAGAAGAAACGTACAGAGAAGTAGCACTTGGAAGAAGGAACCCAGAGATTGGAACTACCGGTGTCAAAAATGACGGTGAAGTTTTGTGGAGGTGAGCCAATGCCTATGACTCCATAATATTGGGCATCCATGTAGTTTTTAAGAGGTATTACCTCTCCGTCTGAACTTGCGATGTTATGAAGCATGCCCCTTGCAATTCTGGCAGTCTTGATACCATTAAGATCCAATCTTTGCTTCTTCAAAGTAAGCCGGGATAGGGCAGCAGAGGGAGAGAGGAGAACTAAGGTTGTAAAGACCCACAAACACAAAGTCAGTTGAACAAGTTTGTGCGCCATGTTTACAGAAACACCTGAAACATTAAAGAGAGAGTCAATTCATGGGTCATGCTCATGCATGAAAAAGATGAGCCAAAAACAAGGAGCTAAGCAAGGTATGCATGCATATATAGAGTTGCATGAAGCCATGAAGTGAAAACAGGGTCATGCTCTCACATGGCACAGTTCCATGAAGTAACACTATATATTGTATTACCTTTTCTAAGAAAAGCTTTAAAGATGTTAGCTGCTGTGGGTGTGGGTGTGGGTGCCGCTGAGATTCCAAGCTTCAAAACCATAAACAATTGCGTAGACGAAGACTATGCATTGCATGCTCCTCTAACCACCACGAGAAATGATTAGCTCCAAACTAAGTCAAGTGACCCTTCCATATTTATCTATGAGTAGCCCACTATCACATATGGGACTTGCTTTGTCTGGTTTTCGAAATATAATCACGCTTAAGTTGGCGCGTGGATAATATTATTGTTTATAAATTCTTTAATTTTTTTAATAGTTCGGGTGATCAAAACATTAAAATATAGTATTTATTAAAAAAAATTTGAACTATTGAGAATATACATACCTTATAAATGCAGATGCTATTATCCAAAATTTCAAGAGAGAACAACACTCAAACCTTAAATCACTTCAATTTATTTTACTTTTTAGAACAATTTCTACCTAAAGGAGGAAAAATGTAATTTTACTTTTAATGCGTATTGAATATGCAACCTAAGAGAGAGAAGATGTATTAATTCGAAATTTTTAAATATATATTATAGATATTGTTGACTAAATCTCTTAATTTTTAAATATGAAAATAATTAATTAATTGATACTAAAAACTATAAGCTAATCTTTAATAAATGAAAATAATTTGAGAGAATTATATATATATATATATATATATATATATATATATATATATTAATGTACGTCTTTGTTCTTTCACATACTTTATTACATTTTTTTATACATAACTAATTAAATTCTAATTGAATTTGGTGGCATGAGCACGTATACCCTAAGGAGGTGTTTGGTTCAAGGATTGTGGGATTCTCATGGGATGAGAATCCCACATTCCCATGTTTGGTTGGCCGAGAATCTCATTCCCGGTAATGTTTTATTATCAATAGTATATTTTTTTGAGTATATTACCGGGAATATCATTACCTCCCTCCCTTAGGTATTGTAACATTATCGGCGTTTTGGACTAAAATGCCCTTAAATTTTTATTTTTTTTCAAAAATATCATTCTTCTGTCATTGAATAATAAAAATTCTACGAAGGTTAAATTACAAATTTATCCTTAAATTATTTTAGATTTACAAAAAAAATCTATAATTAAAATTTTATATGAAGTTCAGGGGTTAAATTTTTTTTACCCTTTCATTAAACCTTCTTTATATTTTTAATTTTGTAAAAAAATTTATATAAATATTATGAATTTAATTTTTTAAAGAAAATATATAAATATTTTACAATTTGTAATATTATACAAATATATAATAAGGACAATTTGGTCAAATATACATTCCAATAATCTTTTATTCCTTTAACCAAACACGATAATCTTATATTCATGCTAAACCAACCAAACACAAAATACAACATTCCCAGTAATCCTATTTCCTGATAATCTTTTATTCTCACTAGTAATCTTACATTCCGTGAACTAAACGCACCCTAAGGTTATGGGTTCAAGCCTCGTCAACTACCTAAATCCCATCTTTCCTCTACTTTTGCTGCAGAGTGGGGTTTACTTTAATTTGTTTGTTCTTGTTCTGGTAGAGTGATGGGTTTTGTTAGTTTGTTGGGGTTTTGTTAATTGTTTGTTTGTACAGAGATGGTTACTTTAGATGAATAATACTTCATTTATCCAATATATATATATATATATATATTAACATTCTCTTACTTTAAACTATAATTCATACATTATTGGGATATTTTATACACACCTTTTACCGCTTCACCTATAATCATTTACTGATTTAATTTATTCAAATAATATTCGTTTATAAAATATTTTTTTTCTAACTTTAGTGTAACTTATATTAATTTTTTTTAAAAAAAACTATAAACTTAACTTTATTTGCTTAATAGTCTATGATTATTACTAGGGTTGAGTAAAACTCGACTCGACTTAAAAAAATAATATTTTTAATTTTAAGTTATTCGAGTCAACTCGAATTATAAATTTGGTTTTCGAGTTCGAGTTAAGTTAAAATTTTGAATTTTTGAGTTACTCGAAAAACTAAAAATTGAAAAAATATTTTGACAGTTTTACGATTTAGTCCCTAATTTCATTATTTCTTCAATTCCTCTTCATTTTAAGTCTATTTTTTTACCAAATTTGAGCCACATGCTCCTAAGCCATAGTAGAATACATGTGTACATTCAATTCCTCTTTTTGGTAACAATTTTTTTATTTTTCAATTTAGACCTTTAATTTTTCATAATCTTCTTTTCCTTCAATTTGTGATTTAGTTTAAGTCTCCTTTTTACCAAATTTCAACCACATGCTCATATACCAAAATAGAATACCTATGTAACTTCAATTGTTATTTTTTAACTAAAGATGTACTCTCTTTTTTATTTAGTCCCTTAACTTTGCATTTTACTCAATTTGGTCTTTTGACTACAATTGTTTACAAATTCTTTATTCTCATCAGATCCTTGACTCATTTATACTCTCATCAATATTTTATCCTCAAAATACCTTCTTTAAAATATAATATTATGAATATGTTTCATAATTTTAGATTGTATTTGATATATTAAATAAAATTATAATATGAAAGAATATAATGTGTGTGTGTGTATATATATATATATTATGGTTAGATAAAGTCTAAAAAATTGGAACAAATCATTGCCATGATACTATAAATAATTATAATAAAATTAGTATAGAAACTCGAATAACTTGACTCGAATTTCTTAAACTTGATTAGACTTAAACAAATACGACTCGTCAACTCGGAATTTTTTTGACTCAACTCGACTCGACTCAATCAAATGCTCACCCCTAGTTATTACAAATATTTTTAAGCAGTAACAATACATACACCTTATAAATGTAGTTCCTCATATCCATGTTCTTTAAGAAAAAAAATCCATTTTACCACTAAAATTGCTCGACATAACCTTACTCTAAATGACAATAAACATTACAATTGGTATGTTTTTGTCTTCTCATACTTTCCTAAATCATTAAATAAAAAAGTTACTTGAAATTTAAATATATGATCAAAACTTTTATACACAAAATTTTCGTCACTTTATCTATATTTATTTAATAACACAAATTTTCAAATAAAGTTTGTTACATATAAGTATATTTCTTCTGTTATTAATATATATTATTCCAGGATTGATTTAGTTTGGTGTGGTTGAGTCTTAAGAAAATATGAAAACGAAAAATATAATGATTATAATAGTAATTTAATTTTTTACAGTTTAATCAAAAAAATTAATTGTACAGTAAATAATTATTATTAAAAAAATTCCAAAATATTTAAGTTTAAATTAAATTATTTTTACTATATAATTTTTTAATAAATTTTATTAATTAAAAATTATTTTTCACATGTACTAGATTATTATATTAGAATGTGAAATCCACGCGCAAAGAAAATTGCATTGCCTAGTGTGAGTAGTAAAAGAAAACAAATATGTACAATTATTACGGAAAGATGAGACTGAGAAAACAAATTCAAGGAAATTACAGAGAATGTTCCTGAGCACGACACCATAGAAATTGCTTTGAAACTTCCTTCCATATTATCCTCACAACAATAAAACAAACTGATCCACAAATACACCTCTTCTTACAGCTTAGGGATTGAGAGATACCACCTTCTTTATGTTATCCGTTTGTTGATGTACAAATTAGCTTGTAGTTGGCCATTTGTTTTGATGCAGTTGCTGCTTCTTGGATTTTATACTCTACTCTCCCAGAGGTTTTTTATCTCTTTTTTGCTCGGCTATTTCCTGGGAGTTGTTTTAGTTGTTTGTTTCAGCATAATGACAAAAATACTTTTTCAACGTTTATACAAATCATTATTTTGCTCTCTATTTTTAGGAGTGTTTCAACCCTCAACATTTCTATTTTGGTCAAAATACTACATGTAAATTGAAAATTATTAGTTGACGAGCGGTCAACATATTTATCTGATGCAATAATTTTACATCTGTATATATCTGATGTGATAATTTTATATCCGTTTAATTGATAGCATAACACATGACATATCATTACTCGAGGTTGATATGACACGTTACAACATTTTACGTAATATGACAATACCATATCATCATTTTGTGTAACATGACACATACTACATATTTACTTTGGTGATATGGCATGTGTCATATCAATGGGTTGTGCCATGTCATCAATTAAACAAATGTAAACATATAACGTCAGCAACATATTTTGACAGTTAGTCAACTAACGGTTTTCATATAACAAAGATTATTTTAACTAAAAATTAAAACATTAACGAGTGAAATGATCCTGAAATATTAAGAAACAAAGTGACCATTTGTATAAACTTTAGAGGCTATTTTGACATTACGTTTTTTTTTCTTTATAATTTTTTGTTATTATATGCGAAAACATAATTAGGTAAGGAACATTTACCCCGAAAAAATTTCACTTTTAATTAATTAAAAACAAGGATGATTACGGAGTTGGTACGGTCAGGGATGGATTGAGGGGCTGGTGGGGGTAATTTTCCTGAAAATTTAAATTTAACATAGAGTTTAGATTTTTTTCTATGTATTTTTTATTGAAAATATATTTTCGCCCCTTGAAATTTTAAAAGTTTAAGTTCGCCCCTCAAACATAAAATTTCATATACATCTCTCGGTATGGTGATCTTCCTTCTGAAAATTTTAAATTCTCATTTAATTTAATAAGTATTTTCTTTTAAAAATCTATTTTTGTTTCTAAAATTTTATTATTTCTTCGGATAACAAAAAATATTATGCTCATCTTATTAGAAATAATGTAGCATGCTTTGATTAGGATTATGTAAATAAGACCTTTATTCAAAACAAGCTGAATTTTGGAGATTTTGTTCTCTAATTTCATTATGCTAACAATTCAGTTGCCCCAACTTATACTGCATTGGTTGCATGTGTAGATATCTCACCATGCTCAGGATCCTCTCCAAAGTATTTGATAAAAAAATATCAAATTGCAATAATAGGTTCGATGATTGAAGTGGTCTTACATAACTCTACAACAATACCAGCTTTTGAGTGGCCCTGATGGACAATTATAAATATTCGTTACATAATTAGTTCATATTTATTACAGAAA